TGAGTGGAGAAGGAGACCAACGAGCCTTCCACACTTCAGACGTCGAGCCCAGGCACGCAAAATAATCTGACGCTAGACGAGAACACCCAGACACCCGGCGAGGACACCCAAATGCCAAATAAGGACACCCGGACGCCTGGCGAAGACACCCAGACTCGTAGGCCAGATTCCTAGGTGCCCAAACTAGCCCAAGCACCCTAGCGCCCAGATATCCCAGCCTAGTGCCTAGGCACCCCAGCCTGACGCTTAGGCTCCCACAACAACTTCAGAGCTCTTTCCTCTACCACTCTAGAAGCTCTACGTGGACGGCTCCTTAACCAATGAAGGAGGTGGAACAGGCCTAATCTTGATCAACCTCGACGGCACTCCCATCAAGTATGCTATAAAGCTCCACTTCATCGCCTCTAATGACGAGGTTGAATATGAAACCCTCCTTCTAGCCTAAGGTTGGCAATCGAAATGGAAAGCCCAACATCTTATTACTTATAGCGATTCCCAACTAATAGTCAACCAAGTGAAGGGTGATTTTGAGGCAAGGGGAGCCAAAATGTAGGAGTACCTTGTTATGGTGTGAGCTTTGCTTGCAAAGTTCCATTACTTTCAAATCTGTCACACCCTGAGGGAGGACAACCTGGCCATAGATGCGCTCGTTAGGCTTGCCTCATCCTTGAAAACCCTACCAAAACTAGCATTCATTGAACATCAGCTCGAACCAAACAAGTTAGACATGGAAGCCACAAACATCAATTGTGTGTGTCAATTCGAACTGGATGACCCCCGATAAGGGCATACCTCTAGGAGGAAGTGTTGTTAGATGACCCCCTGGAAGCCAGGAAGCTCAGTATAAGAGCCTCCAAGTTTACGATCTTACAAGACACCCTGTACAAGAAGGGTTACTCCTTGTTATTGCTGCGGTGCCTTTAGCGCGAAGAAACTAACTATGCTCTGTGGGAGATCCATGAAGGGGTTTGTGAAAATTACTTTGGAGGACACTCTCTTGCCCACAAGGCACTTAGATAGTGCTATTTTTGGCCTAGCATAGTGAGGGACACCTAGGAGTTTGCCAACACGTGCGACAAGTGTTAGCATTTCGCCACTGTGTCCAGGCAGCCACCAGAAGAGTTGATAATAATCAAGAGTTTGTGGCCTTTTTCCAAATAGGGAATTAACATCCTAGGCCCCCTGCCCTTAAGCAAAGGACAGTGCAAGTTTGTAGTGGTCGTCGTCGACTACTTCACAAAGTGGGCAGAGACCGAAGCCCTGACAAAGATAACATATGCAAAGGTTGAAGATTTTTTCTAGAAAAACCTGACCTGTCGCTTCGAAATACCCCATGCCATTGTCAGTGACAATGATATGCAATTCAACAACAAGCTCCTCAACTCCTTCTGCTCCGACCTTAAGATAAAATAGTCTCATTCTAGCCCAGCGCACCCGCAGGCAAATGGATAAACAAAAGTCATGATAAGAACGGTATTATGCAACATAAAGACAAGGCTCAAAAGAGTGAAGGGTATTTGGGTTGACGAACTCTCAAGTGTATTATGGGTTTACCGAATCACGCCAAGAACCCCAACTGGTGAAATCCCATTTTCCCTCGCCTTCGGAATTGAGGCAGTCATCATTGTAGAGATCTGGGTACATTCTCTAAGGGTGTAACACCACAACCCCATCACCAATGAGGAAGGACTCTGCATCAACCTTGATTTGGTAGAGGAGGCAAGGGAAATGGCTATGGTCTGTAACGCAGAGTACAAGCGCCAGATAACAAAGTACTACCACTCAAGGGCAAAGCCATGTTCCTTCCACCAAGGAGACTTGGTCCTCAAAAAAGTGATCTACGCCACAAAGGATCCACGAGAAGGAAAGTTGGGACCAAACTGGGAAGAACCATACCTTATAACAGGAGTGGTGAGGCCAAACACCTACAAGATCCAGAATTCAGAGAAAAAGGTCTTACCCCACCCATGGAACGTTGAACACCTGAAGAGGTACTATCAATGACACCTTAAGAGAGTAGAAAAGTTGGGGAACTTGATTTTATTTTTTGTACTTTTTGAGGTTATTACCCGATATTGCTTGACATAAGCAGTGAATGAATAAAACTTTCTAGATTTACTTCAAAAGATCTTTGTATTTTTGTATTCAATTTCGAAGAGCATCAGTGGCAAAAAATCACTTTTACAAAAGTAAGGCTACAAATTGTCTTTCTAAAAAAAAACAAAAATCAAAAGTACCCAACACTCTGACTACTTTCATGGTTGTCCTTATCATCATCACCCTCAGCATTGTCAGATCCTCCATCACCATCCTCAGGCTCCTCAGATGATAAGAAGCTTGAAACATTAATATTAGAAAAAACAGTAAAAATATTTCCTCGGAGCTCCTCATAGCCATCAATAAAGACGTTTGCAAGGATATTCTCTAAGTCACTGTTAGGTATGAAAACCCTCTCCTCAGCCTAAGAAGCTCTCTCCTGAGCTGCCTTCGCCTCTGCCTTCGCTCTCAAGCAGATTGCCTCTTTGAGCATACCTTTCTTACGGGTCTCCATAAGCTCAACCTCTTTGAGCATGACCCTCTCGTAGGTCTCCACAAGCTTAGCCTCTCTGAGCGCGTACCTTTAATGGGTCGCTAAAAGCTTAGCTGCCCTCTCATGGGCCACCAAAAGCTTTGCCTCTACTTTCAAGCAGGCAGCCTCCTTGAGCACGACCCTCTCATGAATCACTACAAGCTCAGCCTGAGAAGCCCTACCAGCAGCTTCAAGCTCGGCAATCCTCTCCTGAGCAGCAAGAAGCTCCTTATGTACAACCTCATGATTAAGCTTCAGCTGACTGTGAAAATGGCCTTTGAAAGCAAGCATATAAATGCAATTGAAGCCTGAAAAAGACAAAAGATAAAGGAATGATAAAACGCATAGGGAAGGACTGGAGCACGCCCTAGGCACCACTAGAGGGGTTACTTCAAGAAAACTCACCTCGGGTGGCACCATTGGAGAGGTCACTTAGGAGGCATTGCTCATCCTCGCCACCTTAGGAGAAGGAGGGCTCTTATTAGAGAGGCAGGATATAATCACCATTCTATCTACTACAAAGGAAGTAAAGTGTTATCTAAATAAAAAGCACCAAGTAAAAGGGGAAGGTACAAGAGAATCAACATACCTTTTCTCTTCAAAGAGGAACTGCCAGATCTCGGAGAGGGTTCACCAGCCCTACCACTGTCGTTGGACATAAGAACTCCAAAGTCTTTTTTAGGATGAGCCCTCATGGCCTGCAACTTTCACTCTTGATCTTTGAAGAGCACATTAGAATCTGCAAGAGGCATGATGGGTAAAAAAAAAAGGTGCCAAACAAGAGAAAGTAAGTGTAGGGTGTACCAAGTTTCTTAGGGGTACCCCATCCTGTTGGTACCAAAGCCTTATCGGCCTCTAAAGCCCATTCTCGGGCGACAAATATGAAGTGAGACTTCCAGGTATGATAGTTGGAGCGTAATCCTATAATTAACTTGTCTCTCGTAGTAAAATAATACTAACCTCGATTGGGAGCAGGAGCCTCACTCAAAGTATAAGTTGCATGAAACTCGGTAGGGAGAGGCATCCTTATGATGCACCTTCCTTCACAATATCAGAAATCACAGCAAAACTCTCTAACCATTGGGCGACAACTGCCCCGATGTAAGTGAAAAGTAATGCACAATACGACAAATAGAAGAAGACGTGGGGAACCTAAGCGCAGCCTCAAGCATCTCCTAATAGATGAAAATGTCACAAGAGGAGTCATCATAATCAGGCTCACCCATCTCAGCCCAATGGCACAGCACAATTGGAGGAATGTGGTAAGCGGAAACAATCTGTAAAATATCAGAATCCGTATTAAAAGTGCGANAAAAAGCACCAAGTAAAAGGGGAAGGTACAAGAGAATCAACATACCTTTTCTCTTCAAAGAGGAACTGCCAGATCTCGGAGAGGGTTCACCAGCCCTACCACTGTCGTTGGACATAAGAACTCCAAAGTCTTTTTTAGGATGAGCCCTCATGGCCTGCAACTTTCACTCTTGATCTTTGAAGAGCACATTAGAATCTGCAAGAGGCATGATGGGTAAAAAAAAAAGGTGCCAAACAAGAGAAAGTAAGTGTAGGGTGTACCAAGTTTCTTAGGGGTACCCCATCCTGTTGGTACCAAAGCCTTATCGGCCTCTAAAGCCCATTCTCGGGCGACAAATATGAAGTGAGACTTCCAGGTATGATAGTTGGAGCGTAATCCTATAATTAACTTGTCTCTCGTAGTAAAATAATACTAACCTCGATTGGGAGCAGGAGCCTCACTCAAAGTATAAGTTGCATGAAACTCGGTAGGGAGAGGCATCCTTATGATGCACCTTCCTTCACAATATCAGAAATCACAGCAAAACTCTCTAACCATTGGGCGACAACTGCCCCGATGTAAGTGAAAAGTAATGCACAATACGACAAATAGAAGAAGACGTGGGGAACCTAAGCGCAGCCTCAAGCATCTCCTAATAGATGAAAATGTCACAAGAGGAGTCATCATAATCAGGCTCACCCATCTCAGCCCAACGGCACAACACAATTGGAGGAATGTGGTAAGCGGAAACAATCTGTAAAATATCAGAATCCGTATTAAAAGTGCTAGAAATAGTACTCACTTTGGATCCATCGTCGTCGAGAGCTACTTTTCCTCAGTGTTTTTTGTTGCGAGGGCGTGAAGAATTGCCTGAGCCACTACTAAGGAGGGCCTGAGGAATCAAACTTTGGGGAGTACTACCTGAAGGAGCCAGATTATTTGCATTATCAGAATTGTTACCACCAAGGGGTGCCTGTGACTAGTTGTGTCTCACCTTGTGTAATAACTGCCTTAAAGCTGCTGCCCATCACTTGGGGAGTCCCACTTAGCACCATAGGCACCTCATAGTTGCCGCCTAGCCTCCCAGCGAACGCCATTGGTGCCACATGATCAGCGGTTTGAACCTCTCACCCATCAGCCCTATGGCGTGTTCACCCGTCTTCCACTAGTTTGGACCACCTGGTTTGTTCCCCCATCTGATTGGGTAGCTTGCGACACCAGAATAGCAGCCTGAACCCAGTGCTCCGCAGCTGCCTTGCACTGCGCTGTCCTGTCCTGCACGTCGACTGTGTGGGCTACTCGCCCACTGACTTGAACCTTGCCCACTCACATGCCCATCCTTTGATCAGTGCGCCACTCCCCCAGTTCAGTGCCTAGATCAACGCCCAAGCTTACCTCTTTTGCTGTGAGCCCGCTAATGACGCTCACACCTGCACGCCTAAAACCAGCAGCGCCTACCTCCCTGGGCAGCCCAAAGCCTCCAAAGGGGCGCCCATGATCTACTCACCCCTCAACCAGCCCAACATTGACGCCAACTCTTCTGGCCTTATCAACACCTCCCTCGCCCAATCTCCCTCTTCGGTCAATGCTTGCATCTCCTTCTCCGATAACGGTAAGGGCATGCGTCCTCTTTTTTTTAATCAACATTGCTATGAAATACTCAAACTCAAGTAGTTTCTTGAAAGACTTCAAGAAGAGCACTCTCCTTCACTCTCTCAAATTTCTATGGAATGTATGGAATGGGGAAGAAGCTACCTATTTATACCTTGGGTTTTTAAAATCTTATTGAAGGAAGGAAAAAGCAAAAAGTCCCAATTTATAATTAGGGTTCTTCAAGAATCTAAAAAATGGAGTGAAAGAAGGAGTTTATGTAGCTTATGATGTCCCATGGGCAAAAAAAGTCTACGTGAAGGAAGTGAGTCGCCAATTAAAAGAAGTTCTTAAGAAATTCAGATTTAAAAAGAGTTGAACGTTATTTTGATCGTAACTTTGGATCTGTAACTCTAAACGGGGCCTATAATATGTTAAATCAAAGCTCTCGGTGAGCTCTACAAGACGCCATTAAAAGCCCAAAAAAAGCCCAAAAACATATGTTTTGACCTCCTGAAGTCCTTTATAGTGATGCGTTTAGCCGAAAATTCAAACTTAATCAAATGTCCTCTTCTCCAAGTTCCATTGGATGCAGGGCTTTGGGGGGCAAATGATGGGCCAAGCCCAATGGCCCAACTCAATTTTGAGCCCAGTTTGAATTAATAGCCCAATTCCTGGAGATTCCAACAAGTCAAGTTCAAAGTTTTTTACGCCCAATCAAGATCATCAGGTTTGAGGAGCTATGTCAGCAAGGGCACATGCAGGGTCATCCAAGAGTCTCATCTACGCCGCCTTGGAAAGGGTCAATTCCGCACATTAACCCTTGACTGAATCTCATAGAGAGCACCGTAACCGCCTCGTCTGTTGAGAAGAAGTCGTCAGATCCAACAGACTAGCCACTTAGTTACTAATATCTTGCCCAAATCTGTTAGGAATGCGATTATAAATTGTAAGTCTCACCAACACTTGGGGGGCATCACACTCTCTTGAGTACAACTCTCATCTCCCTCTCAAAGCTTGTAACTCTCTGCTCTCCTTACACACTTGAAGTAATAAAATACCCGACGACCCTAACTATTCAAAGTGCACGCAAGTCACATTGACCGAACCACTATAAACCTTGTCTTCTCCATTTCTCACTTATTAATTACTGTATTTATTAATGCTTATCTGACAAGTAATGTACAAACTCAATTTGTGCATCATCCGGACCAATAACCACATTGATGAATAGACAAAAATAAATCAATCATAGTCCACATTGGGGCCAAGGTGGCCATGGCCCCCCTCAACAATTTATAAATACCTTATATTCTCTTTAGATTTTCTAAAATCATATACCTTTCCTTAAGTTTTCAGAAAAAAAAATTATATTTGTAGGATAATTCAATTAGTGTATTTAAAAATCCTAATGATTTGATATTTAATAATAAAGTACTTTCATATTTTTTTCTCATTTAAGTTCTCAATAGAAACGCAACATCAATAACCACCAACCTCCACAAAACTCATAGAGAAAATTTTAACATTATCCAACTATATCCAAATTAGAGTATATAGATTGTGTGTAAAAGCTAGAGGAGTTTTTTTTGTCATAGTGTGACATTTTTGAAGATACAATTAAATATGGAACAATATTAGTTGCACCTAATTTATTAATGGTAATGCGAGATGGGTAGTTTATCTGTGGCATATGTCTCTTAAAGAGTAATGGATGTGTGTGAAGATAGTCTTAAGCAAAGATTTGCTCATGAGTGTAATTTTGTAAATCTGTCTGACTATGAGATAGACTGATTGAACAGATACGAGAGTTGGTCATCCGGAAGTCTTTTATAGAAGGTCTCGCTCAACGAATCAAAGGTACGTCGAGAATAATAGGTTAATGACTCCCAATAACTTTTATCGACAAATTCGTTTGGAACTTCGATGTCGACTCATTACATCCTAGGATTGAAGAATGTCCCAAGGGTTTGTTGGGTACCAACTCAATGGATGATACGTTAAATTAACAAATTATGTCAGAGTAATATTTTTTTAAAATTTATGTAATACATGCAAATCTTTCTACGCATGAGGGTTTAGATGTTTAAAGAGCTAGCTATTAATCAAACCATGCAATTTAGATCTAACCAATTCGATAAATGATTCCCAAAGGTTCAGATCAAACTAATACTAGTGGATAAGACTTATTTCGTAATCTTAATGAATATATTAAAAAATAATAATAGCACACAAAAAATTCTTCTTTTTTGAGACCTACCACGATCATTTTTCTAATTTTTTTTACCAACATTGTGATAAGGTCAATAAAAATTTTTTAGAATCAGTAAAATATGAATATATTGATTTTTTTTTTGTTGCAAAATTTAGTGGCGCCGCCCTGCTTTTTAGGGCTACCTATAAGCATGCACTATACCAATGTGATCAAGCAGCAAACATTATGATGAAAATATAGAAAGCAATAATAAGATTTATGGAGAATTACACCCAGTCCCCCGAGATTTGTCACTTAATCACTCAGATCCCTGACATTTTAAATATTACACATAGACCTTGTAAGGTTTGTTCGCGCATAACATTTAGATCCTTGTTGTAAACATATCTGTTAATGAATTACACCTAAACCCCCTAAATTTTATAGACATATAATATTTAGACTCTTGAAGTTTAAAATATTATACTTAAACTAATAATACTTCAATCAAAGATATAATATCAAATATTTTAAATTTTACAATAAAAATTCATGTTCTATTGTATCAGTTCTAGAAATAAAATCAAAAATAAAAATTCAATATTTTCTTTAAAAATTGTAATTAGTATACAATTGTAAATTTTTCACCAATTTTGTAAATTTTTTATTGATGTTAAAAATTTGTCCACTATTGTTATAAATTTTTTCACTAATATTGTAATTTTTTGACTAATCGATCATTCAATATTAGTAATCGATCGCAAACTTACAAAAATATAGTTTTGGTACTTCAAATGGTTGTAAAAGTTTACCCACTATTATAGTAGTTTGTTTATTACTGTAGTAAATAGTCAATTGATGTTGTAATTCTGACCACTATTGTTGTTATTTTGTCATCCGTTGACAGCTTTTCGGAATNCCCACTATTATAGTTTGTTCATTACTATAGTAAATAGTCCATTGATGTTGTAATTCTGACCACTATTGTTGTTATTTTGTCATCCGTTGACAGCTTTTTGGTAAGGTACCAAAATATCTCATTTCGGTACCGTAGTATGCTCCGATACATCTAGAACAGTCTCTCTCCTTTTAGAGTAGTTATTGGCCCTCTTTTTCTACTGGGGACGACGAGTATACTTGCATGTTACACGTTGCATCGAATTTTGATTCGCATTTATTTTGAGTTTGAATTTGTTTAATTAGATGTGGATTAATATTTTTTTTATTGATAGTTAAATTCAAATTTAAATATGTTATATCCTATTTATTGAATTTTAATTATGATATGCTAATATTTGATATGATTATAATATGATTCTATTTATATATATATATATGATCAAATTAAATGAGCTTTTGATGAAATTATATTGAAAATTAAATGTAATTTAATAAAAAAAATTAGATTTATTCATATCAAATTTGATTTTCAGGTCTTGTGTTCGATTCTTAATAGATTAGGAAAACGATTGTGAAACTAAAATACGACAATAATTATAATGAATTCGAATCAGAAAATTTTAAATAACTTGGATTCAGATCGAACTGAAAATCCTTTCTATTGGCAGGCTACTTAGATACCTTGTAGTTTCTTCATGTCACCTATCCTTGGATTTTTTTTTCAAAATTACATTTAACATCCCTTACCATCGAAACCTGAAACAAACGTTAAAGGGCCTTATTAAGTCAATTTAAATATAAAGTTTTACAAAAGTGTACCACTGGTTAACCAAACTAAACCATGCGAAAACATGAATGAGGGTGTGGTGCCATTTAGGGCCGTCAATAGAGCGGATTTTAATTTTAATTTGATTTGATTCTAAGTCCATTTAACAAGGTATGGATTAATATTTAATTTATTTATCCAAATTTGAATTTTTATTTCCATTACTACTCCCATTGGACTTCTTATGTCAGGATATGGATCAAATAATAAATATTCCTTTTTAGGTGGTCTCCGAGCTGCTACTCAATCAATTAGTTATGAAAGATCTGAATCCGATTAAATTTTTTTAAATAGATTTGAATTTGGATATATATAAATTTGATCCGATATATATATATATATATATATATATAGGGGCAGTACTGAGAGTAGGCATGGGGGGGCCAATAATTCCATTGTCCCCCCTATATTTTCAAAAAAATTTATTGCTAACCTCTAAGTTTTCAAAACACCCAATGTATAAATATCTCACTTAATGTATTAAAAAAGATCAATGACTTAATATTTAGTAACTATTTGAGATGTAATCACATGGATGAGTGTCACTTGTACTGATGAAGACACTTGTTGGATAACTTTGATTGACTATAGAGAAAAAATAAGTGACTTTTTTGTGACCATAATTTATTTACGGACATAAAGTTAGATTATAAACAAGACAAAAAGAGGATGATATTATTGTCACAAAAGAATTTGAATGATGAAATTTAAGTATTGAATTGAATTAAACTGTTTAATAAATATAAAGAGTTGAAGTCTAAAAATTATTATTATTCTAATTTTTTTTTTTAATCATTTTTCCACAACGACCTAATTTCTTACAACCACCATCACAATGGTGGTGGCGACGACAGTGGTGGTGACAATAACACAATAGTGGTAGTGATGAAGGTGGTGGTGCAGAGAGTGATAGCATAATGATGGTAGTGAAGGCGACGACACAATAATGATTGTGATGAAGGTAGTGGTGGCGGTGGCGGTGGCACAATGTTGGTGGTGGTGATGACACAATAGTGGTAGTGGCAGTGGTGGTGGTGGTGATGGTAGTGATTGCGGTGGCATAATGGTAATGACAGTGGCAGTGACGGCGACACAATGACGGTGATTGCATA